CCAAAACCCCAAAACCCCAAAACCCCACTTCTAAATATTTTAAATATTTGGTACAATCCAATAAATAAAAATATTTTATAGCTAATTAGTGATTGAATAACAGGATAAAGATTAAACAATGGCATTTTTAAAAAAAATAAAAAAGTTCAACCAAAGAGTGGCTATTATTGACAAAAATGGAAAATTTACCTACGAACAGTTACTTAATAATTCTCTAAATCTGTCAAGTTAAATGCAAAATATTATCAATCAATAGCAAAAGCAGGATTAGAGCTTAAAGAAGATCTTATTTCTTACAGACCCTGACATCAATTATGCTTCAGTCTAGCTTGCAACTTGGGGAATGAAAGGAGTGACCGTTCCAATGAGTATAAAAATGACCCCAAGCGAAGCTGAGTACTATATTTAGGATTCATAGGCTGATCTTATTGTAACTCAACCACATTATGAGGATAGATTTAGAACAATACAGGAATTCAAAAACATACCTATGATTATACTAAATAAACTAAACTTGAATGAATCAAACTTAGAGCTGCCTCAAACTTCAGATCAAGATGACAATATGATTCTTTACACAAGTGGAACTACAGGTAAACCAAAAGGCGTTGTTCACAAATTCAAGTCTATCAAGTCTTAGATTGAAATTTTATCAGAGGCATGGGGATGGAGCTAAGATGATAAGATATTAAATGTTCTGCCATTACATCATCTCCACGGAATTTTGAATGTTGTTAATTGTGCTCTTTGGAATGGGGCATAGCTTGAGATGCATGATAAATTTGATACAAAAGCAGTTTGGAGTGCTCTTCTAAGATCTAGAGATGACCCTTTGTCACTCAGTCTATTTATGGCAGTTCCTACTATTTATTACAACTTGATAAAATACTATGATGACCATGAGGGATAAATAAATAGTCTAGATTAAAATGAACTAAAACAGAGACTCTAAAGGCTAAGATTAATGATATCTGGCTCAGCTTCATTACCTGAACCAGTTATGGCTCGATGGGAATCGATATCTGGACATACATTATTAGAAAGATTTGGAATGACAGAGCTTGGAATGGCTTTATCTAATCCACTTAATGGAACAAGAAGAAGTGTAAGTAATTTCAGTTTAATTACATCTTATTAGGGTTATGTAGGATACCCATTACCACATATTAAGGCAGCTCTTAAAGACTTGGAAAAAGGAAATATTATTGAAGAAGGCATTAATGACAAAGAAGGAGAACTACTTATTTAATCCCCATGCATGTTTGATAGATATCTTAATAAAGAAAAAGAAACAGCAGAAAGCTTCACTGACGATGGTTGGTTTAAAACTGGTGACTGTGCTATAAGTAAATTTTGGCCTTCAAAATTATAAATTAGGATCATAGAATGGAATGTATAAAATATTAGGTAGACTGTCATAGGACATCATTAAGAAGAGTGGCTATAAGATAAGTGCACTAGAGATAGAAAATAGACTATTATAAAATTCTGAGGTTGCAGAGGTAGCTGTTTTTGGTATTCCAGATGAAAAGCACGGTGAAGAAATAGCTTGCATGCTTGTTCCGAAATCCAAAACTAATTATGATTCTAAAATACTTGAGAATTATTGTGAGGAGCATCTTAGTTCATATAAGATACCTAGAAAATGGATCACAGTAGAAGAAATACCTAAAAATGCTATGGGTAAAGTTAATAAAAAGGAGTTGAAAAAAGTTTTCCAATGATTAGTGAGATTATATTGATTTTACTAGAAAAGATTAGAATAATTTCAGTTGATTTTTTTAAACATTAATTTTATCAATTTAAGAAAAGATAATATGAAAGATTATTAAAATTATCTATTTTTGTATGATTTTTGTTATATGGGGTTTTGGGGTTTTGGGG